CTGCTGAACAGAGAGACGTGGACATGAAGGGCTCTGTTATAAAGGAAGAAAGGAGATGCCACAGACGTGCTGAAGAACAAGCTTAAAGGTATTTTTTTTTTTTTATGCAAACATTAATTTGTAATGAGATTTGATAACTAGATCATGTTTGTTCTCAAGGTTTGCATGCCTGGCCTCTTCCAGATCAAAATGATCCTGTAAAATATAAAATACCTTGACTCTCACCATCCTAAAGGTGCTCAGCACCCTGCCAAATACATGTTTTTTGTAATATAGATGAAAAGTAACTTGCATTGTTGCTTCTTCTTTTTTTTTTTTTTTTTTTTTTTTTTTTTTTAATTAAAATCAGCACAGCATTGCTACCCAAAGCTCCAGACAACATCCCTTCCTCAGTACGTGGATTTGGTTAATGGAAATGAGTTTTCAGAAACTGAAAGGCTCTGCTATTTATAGTCTTTTTCTGGAAGACCTTTCCTCGGACACGTTGCTGAGTGGGAACAACAGCTTTTTAGCATTGTTTTGAAAGAGCACACAGTGCATTTTAGATTTACTTTGAAGCACTAACAATTCCCAAAGATCCTGGGGGAAAAAAACAAAAAAAAAAAACAAAAAAACCCCAGAAAAATAGTGATACTAGGTGGAATCTCAGCTTCTACTTAGTCATAATGTGCCCACACATCACAGCCTGATCCATTAGGCTTTCACTGCCTGGGACATTTGCAAAACTCTTCATGGCCAAATTGGCACAAATTAGCACAAATCCAGCTTCCAGACTGGAGCGAGGGACCACCTCTCTGAGCAGGGAAACCAAGTCACAAAGATCTGCCTTAAACTTGAGCTGTGCCACAAATAGGTTCAACATCCACCAAGAAGTTTGGTCCCAATTGAGGATGTCAGTTCTGGTGCTCACAGCACTCCTAACTCAGTACCACAATGGTCTCACACCATGAAACAGCTCTCCTAGTTCATCTCAAACCTCTCCATTTCCACAGCAGCCCCAAGGCAAGCTCTGAACAGGAATCTCTGCAGGCAACGCCCCAGGAGGAAGGTCTCCTATTTCCACATCATCTCCACATTTTTCCAGATTTCTTTCCTAATACAATTAATTCCTACATTGCTGTGTCCCTTCATCCCACTGGGGGATCTCCCGCTCTGCTCCACTGCTCCTTATTATTTCCTGCTCCTTCCAACGTACCCCGCTGCTTTGGGAAGGAAGATGCACAAGGCTGCTCATGCAGAGCCACAATCTGTTTTTAAAACATCCAAGAGCTGAGCTAGCACCCTGTCCTCCAAGCCAGACACTCTTTTCCCTCCTCACACCAATCCACAACACTCCTAGAAAGCTAGTGCCTGCAAGACCTCCACCTCCCTCTCCAACATGATTGTGAGATTCAGGGGTTTTTTGGGTGGGGAGAGGGATGCCCAATGAGCAGCTGGTGGTTGGGTCTGCAGGGAGCGAGCCTGAACCTGAGCTGGGCTGAACTCAACTGCTGTGCCAGGCTGGGACACGTCCTGGGACCTAGGGACGACCTCAACCAGATGGGTAAGACGTACATTGTACTAGGGAGTGCAATGGCCCGAAACCAAGACTGTGCCGGGCACCCTGAGGAATCTACCCAGGGATGTGGGGAGAGAAGGAGGGCAGGTGAGTGCAGCCACTAGCCCAGCTGGCCACTCGCCTCTTCCCTGGAGGTGGGCAACTAGGGTTATGGCTTTTCATGCCTTATCCACACTCCTGATCCCACTGTGAGAGCACATCTCAGCAAAAAGCCACCTGAGTGACTATTACCGAGTGATCTCCCTCAAGCAGCAGCTTTAGAGCGAACACAAGCAGCCAAAGGTTGGTGAGAAGGGATCTGCAAGAGACAGGCTGAAAAGCCGTGGGGTTCAGGGTGACAGAAGCAGCCAGCTCCCTTCAGACCCCTTCCTCACAAACCGAGGCACTTTCAGTTACAAGACTCACCCCTGAATGTGGTAAATCCTGTGCCTGTACCTCAATGTCCCTTCCATTCCCCGAGGAGAGCTGCACTGGCCATTCAGTGAGCTGCAAAGTCCCTGACCACAGGAGCCTGGGCACTGTGGGGAAACTTCCAAAGACACTGTCATAGGGCAACGGAGCTGGGGAAGGGTCTGGAGCACAAGTGTGCTGAGTTCCCGGCTGAGGGAACTGGGGGTGTTGAGCCTGGAGAAAAGGAGGCTGAGGGGAGACCTTGTGGCTCTGTGCAAGTCCCTTGGAGGAGGGTGGAGAGAGGTGGGGGTGGGTCTGTTCAACCAAGGCCCAAGGGACAGGACAAGAGGAAATGGGCTCCAGTTGTGGCCAGGGCAGTTGAGATGGGATGTGAGGAAGAATTTCTTTGCTGAAAGGGTTCTGAGGCATTGGAAGGGGTTGCCCAGGGCAGTGGTGGAGTCCCCATCCCTGGAGGGATTGAAGAGCCGTGTAGACATAGTGCTGAGGGACATGGGTTAGTCGGGGACTGGTCAGTGTTGGGTTCATGATGGGACTTGATGATCTTTTCCAATCCAGGCAATTCTGGAATTCTGTGGTCAGTCCTCTGTGAACGCAAACTGCTTTGGGTTTTTTTACTGGTTAATTTTTGATGTGCACAAGGTGAAGCAAATATTAAAAAGCCATTGGAAACCTGCACAGACAAAGCCGCTGCCTGCAGCGTCGGTGGCACGGACAGCACGGGGACTGGGTCTACACATCTGGACCACAGAGAAGCTCCTAGGCTATGATCATACCATGAAGTCAATCAAATATCACTGTGCATACAATAATCAGAGAAAATCTACATTCCCATTTCTGGTTCAAGAATCTGTAGTGGGTTTTTTTTTTTTTTAAGCCTGCATTTGTACGTGACTGATGAGGGAGACCCCAGTACCAGGAAGGTTCCATGGAGAAGGCTGACCCCTGCTTGCTCTACGCAACAGAAACAAAAGCACAGCCCAAACTTCCACACAAGTACACCAGAATGGGGTGGAAAAAAAGTTCTCCAGCTCTGTCACCACAAAAAAAACCCAAAAAACCAAACAAACCAAACCCTCACATGCTATCACTCCTAATCAGGATGCAGAAGATAACAGGAAATTTCTTTCTTCTGCCGCATTCAGAAATCCCTGCAGCTGCAAACGAAGGGCGACAATAATTGGACAGGCCCATAGGCAATGGAAATGATCCACAAGCACAGTGACATTTATTCTACGTGGGAGAATCAACACTCCCCCACTTCATCTGAACCCAGTAGTAGAGAGAACAAATGAGCTGTGCAATAATTTGAATTGAGTTTCTCTAAGAGAGCACAGGAAGATAAGACTTGACACCAGCAAAGCTCTTCTACACTTCCCCAAATTACTGCAATTTCAGTCTTGTTCTCATTTCCAAGCAGGTTTCATCCAAGTCAGAACCAAATCAGATAGGAATAGTTTATGTGAGATACACAGAAACTCTAAAACAAAAACAACCCCAAAACTCACATCTCCTTAAACAGAAAAGGAACTCATCTGCATTTTTCAGCCTGGGGAGGAGAACTTAACATCAAACTTAAGAGAGAAGCAATAATTCTCACAAAAGCAAGCCCTGTCCCACCAACCTCCTTGGGGAAAAACCTCATCATCTAACAAATCTCCACTGGAGGTAGCAGGAAATAATGCAGCAGCACCAGAGGGGAGCAGACAGGAGCACTGTGGGGAACAAGCACCCATGCAGGGAGAAGCTCATGAGCAAAGTAACAGAAACACAGAGGCTACATCAGAGGCAAAATCTCACTGAAACCAGAGGAGCCTGAACACCAGGACAGCCTCGATGTCAACAGGCAGGTCTGCAAAACCCTCACCAACACCCACAAGCCCCCACGCTGCCCAGGCTTGCTGTCCAAAACACATCACTGGTGGTCTGTAGAGATAAACCACCCACAAAAGGCTCCTGAGCAGAAGGAGGTGCCGAGGGATGGGGGATCTCCCCTGTGGCAGCGCAAGCACACCCAGCACTGCTTAGTGCAAAGGAATGGCATCTCACTGGCTTCCAGACTGACTTTTACTTGCCCCAAGGCACCTAAGAGACTTCAGGCAAATGACTAGCAAAATAATACAAAAGAGGAGAAGGAGAAAAAGTAGAGGGGGGAGGAGAGAGAGAAAAAAAAAAATCCATTGACATCTACCACTGGCACAATTACACATCCTTAATTACACATCCCAAACTGCGCTCTTTGGAGCTGAACTTCCACTTTTAAGTATGAATTTAAAAACATAACGCTGTGTTTCCCCAAAAAGAAAACACTGGGCCCTTGTGGGAAAAAGCTACTTTGCTGGAAACAGAGCCCAGGTTCAGTGCTGGTGGCCACAGGTCCTGCTTGTCCCCAAGGGGAGCTCAGAGAGGGACAGATCTGGCTGAGCCCCTGCTTACAACAGGCTGCAGTCTGTCCCCCTCAGTGCCCCAGGGCTGACACTTTTCAATGCTTGTCACAGCTGAGGAGTGATTTTTCAAGAAGGCTTAAAGAAAATCCATTTCTCATTTATTCAACATTTATTTATAGCTGCAGAAAAAATTGTTCAGCTGCTGTTTTGTGGTCAGACAACCAAACTTTCCGAGCTCCACAAGCTCTTGCTTGGCTCCTGCTGCAACAGATTATTTGGGAGCATAAAGGGCTGGGCGCAGGTCTGCAAACCTTACCTGATGGGTCTTGGAGGTGCTGAAGAAACATAAACCAAGAGTTACTGAGAAGCAATAGGAAACGGGGCTGTTCTGCAGAGCAGCAGCAAGGCAGCACGCCTGTGTGGGCACTTTTGTAGGTGTGGTTCTGCCCTCCCAGCGTGGAGGCAGCACAAGCAGGCAGGGGAAGGCACACTGGCATGGGTGATGCCAGTTGGCAAGGGTGTACAGAGCTGCCAAATCCCTTCTGGCAGAGCCCACCCACATTGCACAGCACCCTCCCCAGCTCTGTTCCCATTGCCAAGATGCAGAATAAGCAAAACCTTAAACCTGACATATTTTTCTGATCAGGGTGACAAACAAACATACAAAAACCCAATCCTTCTCGGGGGGCACAGGTATGCTGAAAGCAATGCGCTCACAGGTGCTTGTCAGCCCAGCCAGGTTTGGGCTTGCTGCTACAAACACAAATGAGGACTCACATCTCCCTCCTAAAGCCCCAGAGATGTTAAGTTCAACACCATCAGGAGGGTCAGCAGCTAAGGGAACACAGGCTTCCTTCCATGAACATTTAAAGGCTCATCAGAAAAGAAACCTGCGCTCCCCAATTCGAAGGAATTCTCCTCCTTGCTGTCAGGTTGGTTTTTTGTTTGTTTGGTTGGGGTTTTTTTTGTTTTCTTTTTTCCTAATAAACATGTTGCCTTGGTTTTTTAAAAGCAGAATGCCACCACAGCCAAAATGTCTTGTGTCCCATGGCCACATTGGTACTGGAAGGACCAAGCAACTTAAATCCAGACAGCTTCCCAGAGACCAAGCACATGGGAACCCAGACAGCATTGCAGCCCCCCACCTAGGGAACAGCATTTCTTGGCTTCAAAACGTCAGCGAACCATGGAGCCACTGAAAAGCCAGCAACACCTCAGCTGTATGGGGAGAGGCTGAAGTCACTTGGTTTCTTCAGCCTGGAGAAGAGGAGACTGAGAGGAGATCTCCTGGGGGTCTAGAACTTCCTGCCAAGGGGAAGAGGAGGGGCAGGCGCTGATCTCTTCTCTTTGGCCACCAACGAATGCCAGGAGCAGAGGGAATGGCAGGAAGATGTGGCAGGGGAGGGTGAGGTTGGCCATGAGGAAAAGGTTCTTGAGGCAGAGGGTGGTGGAGCACTGGAACAGGCTCCCCAGGGAGGTGCTCATGGCTGACAAGATTCCAGCAGCATTTGGCCAAGACCCTCAGGGCCATGGTGTGAATGTTGGGATTGTCCTGTGCAGGGACAGGAGTTGGACTGGATGATCCCTGTGGGTCCTTCCAACTCACAGCATTCGATGATTCTGTGATAAAACAGTCACACTCTCAGTTTTCCACATACAGCAAAGGTACACAGGGCAGTTCATGCTGCCTGTTATGAAAAAATGCTCTATCAGAAACAGGCAGGATGAGGAGAGCAAGTATAGCCCCATCCTCACTCCACAGTGGCCACAGCTTTTTTCGCAGACCCTGCAATCACGCAGCAGCGTGCAGCCAGTGTGAGCGTCCACCCAGACCCACCACGATCATGTCCAAGCTCCGTGTCCTCCTGCGTCACTGCGACACCAACACAGACGTAACCTGCTGTTTCTGTGGTACAATGGCTGGTATCTGGCTACTGTTGTCCAGAGCCCAGAGTATTTTTCAGGATTAACCAAGCATGAGACTCAAATATTCCCTCCATCATTAACTCAAGCATCATTCATCAGCAACAACTGCTTTTAAAGCAGCACTTCGCCAGGAGAAGCACCACAGGACAGCAGCTGTAGCCCCCCTGGAATGCTCCCCACGAGCAGCCTGCCACACGCAGAGCGGAGCAGATGCTCCACGGCAAGGCCTCACAGAGAGCTCAGGAAGTCTATTTTGGGATCTCATATGTCAGCCCTTTATGAGCCGATACAGTTCCTGAAGCAAATGCTATAAAAACAGGGAGAGAAATCAGCACTGGAGTTTTCCTACAACATGACAAAGATGGCTTCAGAGCAGGACATAAGACTTCTTTACCTACATGCTCTTCTTACAGATGTTTCTCTCTGGGGTGTTATTCAGGTGAGCGTGTTTTGCCCTTCAAACAACTAGGCACCAGAGGCCCAGTTTCCCATGAAATAATTTCCTAAGCATGGCACAAACTATGCTAGTCCCCAGCAAGGTGAAGAAAAAAAATTGTATCATTTACCCAAGTAAATAACTTACCTCCTTTTGAGGGGCATCAATTTCCCTGCACTCTTCTAGTCTCTTCAGCACAGCTTGGGCATCAGAAAGGGCCTCCGAGAAAATACTTTCATAGCGAAGAAAGAAATCCTGTTTACAGCTTTTGCTCTCTTCTGCTATGTGAGAGAAACAAGATGAGTTATTTGCTAATTGAAGGGATTTGCAGAAAGCATGATGTGATTGAAAGACATCAGTTTGTAACCAGCACATGGGCTATAATAGGGAAACTGTGATTCACAAAGCCCTTCTAAAGATATCACACAGCCTGGAGGGAAAACCAACAGTTTATTTAACACCAGCTATAAATGGAATATTTATTTTAAACCCAGTACAGCCTCTGTTTTCTCCCCATGATGAACAGGAGTTTAAAGTAAAAGGCACCATTAGCAGGCAACTCTGCTGTTTTACAGATCACCTTAGCAACCTCATATCCTGCACTAACACAGATCCCACTGGGCACCAGATAAAATCACATGCGTGGGTAAGAAAAGTTTTGCTCACCACAGCTCTGGTACAGTGACAGAGCGAAGCCACTGCAAAGGCCAAAGGAGAATATTGCACAGTGCCAAAAGAAGTAATTTTTGAGCCATTGGGCAATTAATGACAGAACAAGGGGAAATGGCTCAAAACTGAAAGAGGGGAGGTTCAGATTAGATATTAGGAAGAAGTTCTTCACTGTGAGGGTGGTCAGACACTGGAACAGGTTGACCAGAGAAGCTGTGGCTGCTCCTCCCTGGAAGTGTTCTCGGCCAGGCTGGATGAGGCTTTGAGCAACCTGGTCTAGTGGAAGGTGTCCCTGCTGCTGGCAGGGGGGCTGGGACTGGATGAGCTTTAAGGTCCCTCCCAACCCAAACCAGTCTGGCATTCTATAAAGAAAGTCCCTGCAGAAAAGGGGAACACGTCATTCCGCTCCCAACCCAGGGCAAACTAAAAAAACCAAACAAACAAACAAAAAAAAAAAACACAGAGGAAAAGATCCCCCATGGCAAGAAAACATGAGTCAATGCGGTTGCAAATAAAAGACAATGCTGTGCCCAGACTTGTAAAGTCTCACCTAAATCCCTCGCTCCTCCTTTCTCCTCCAGCGGCTCAGCAAGCTCCTCCTCCGCAGAGCCACCCTGCTCGGCAGGGGCAGGCTGACCAGGACGAGAGCCTGAATCCTCCCGGAGGGATCTGGAGTCACTTGGCATCTCATCCTGGTGAACCCAGGTGTGATTTATGTAAAGTTCCTGGCCAGGAAGAGCAACATCTGCTTCCATTTCTGCTTCTACAGGGCCAGGAGAAGGGGAAACTCCCTGAAGGAGGAAAAGCTCTGTTTTTCCTTCAGCACATTTTTCAGACTGGGGCAGGTTATTAGCTTCAGCACAGTTCCCAGATGAGTCTCCTGCCTGGCTGGAGACTTCTCTCACTACCTGGTCCTGAGTCGAACAGCTGATGAGGTCCCTGAGGAGGTTTTTGCAGCTAAGAGCCACATCAAACATCTGCAGACTATCTGCCACAGAGATCACTTTGGTGAAATTGTGTTTCCCCAGTGGGAGTTTGCCACTGTACATCATCTCCAGCAAGAGTGCAAACTCCTCAGGTGTCACCACAGAAGCATCGATGGAGATGGTGTCTGTGCTGTCCAACAAGGATTTAAAAAGCAGGCTGGCAGCAGCCAAAACCACCTTGTGTGCTCTAAAATGAACATTCCCAATGAAGATGGTGCAATCACAGAACTGTTGCTCTTTGCAGAGAGCGTACAGCTGCTGCAGCAGCTGCTTGCTGTAACTGGGAAGCTCCATGGCATCAGAATCTACTGGTCTCCTCTCGTCGTGGTCTCCACATCACTTCCACAAAGCCCAGCTAGTGAAAAAACAAAGGATCCTGTTAGCACTTTGCTCAGAGAGCAGCAAGACAGAAAGAAAAAGTAAGCAAAAATGACTTTTCAGTTTACACCTCCTAGTAGCTTACTATGCTCCAGTTCAGTGGTTACAGCAAGGAGAG